CAGAGAGAGACAGAGAGAGACAGGACAGAGAGTCAGAGACAGAGAGACAGAGTCTGGAGCAACTGTGCCTCCTAGGAGGACCCCTTGGGTATGAGTATCCTGGGCTGCTCTAACACATGACCACAAGCTGGGTGGTGGGTCCCCTTACCTTCTAGACACTAGAGTCCAGGCGAGTTCCCTCTGAGGGCTCTGGGGCTTCCCTTTACCCTCCGAGCTCTGGTTTCCAGGCATCCTTGCAGTGGCCACATCGCCCATCTCTGCCATGGTCTCCACATGGCTCCTCTTTGCCTGTGTCCAAATTTACCTCTTTTTATGAGGACTCCAGTCATTGTTTGGGCCCACCCTAATAGAGCGCAACCTCCCCTGAACTTGGTCACCTTTGTAGAGACCGTGTTCCCCAAAAAGCCCCCTTGTAGGCCCAGGGCTGGGACCTGAGCATGCCCTCTCCTCGGGTCACATTCTGCCTACCATGCAGGCTCAGCTCGCTTTTCCCAGGAGAGACTCTCACAGGCCTGGTGGCCCCTGGGCTGCCCTGGCAGAGTGGCCGGATCATCACCCCCAGGCCTCCTTAGAGGGCAGAGCCAGAGTGTGTTGCGTCTGGAGATTCTGGGCTTGGTGTGGGGGGAGGGTGGGGAGGGTGGATAGTTGCTGTGCCCTAGAAGGCCAAGGGGCTGGGGAGGCCCCCTGTGTCACTCCACTTCTGCAGGCCAGGGTCTGTGCCACCCCCACAGTTCCTATGGCCCCAGCTCTCAGGGCTCCATCTGTCTCCTGCTTCTGCAGGGCAGGGTCTGTGGCCTGTGCGGGAACTTCGACGACAGCGCCATCAATGACTTCACCACACGGAGCCAGTCCGTGGTGGGAAATGCCCTAGAATTTGGGAATAGCTGGAAGCTCTCCCCATCCTGCCCGGACGCCCTGGCACCCAAGGACCCCTGCACTGCCAACCCCTACCGCAAATCCTGGGCCCAGAAGCAGTGCAGCATCATCAACAGCGCCACCTTCGCCGCCTGCCACGCCCATGTATGGCCAGCCCAGGCTTGGGGGGTGTTTTCTGGGCCCCAGGGGACCTACAGTGACACTCAGGAGACCCAGCAGGGAGAAGGGGGGGTGCAGAGCTGTCAGCAAGGGCATGGGCAGCCACGCCTCTGGGGCTGGTGTGGATATGCTGGATGGGCCTGGCATTGGCCTGGGGGTTGTGGGAGGTGCTTCCTCTGAAGACTGCTCATGACAGCCCCAGATGAAGCCTGACCACTCGGGCTCACACGTTTGCTGTCCCTGAGCTTCAGTGGATCCTGGCCCATGTCAATAGGCCAGTGTGGGGCTGACCCCCTGACCCATGAGGGTATAGGTTGGAACCTGAAGGCCTGTTTCCCCAGGTGGAGCCAGACAAGTACTATGAGGCCTGTGTGAGCGACGCCTGTGCCTGTGACTCGGGGGGTGACTGCGAGTGCTTCTGCACAGCCGTGGCTGCCTACGCCCAGGCCTGCAGCAATGCTGGCCTCTGCGTGTCCTGGCGGAGCCCTGACATCTGCCGTGAGTGTGCAGGGCCCCAGGGACGAGGCAGGAAAGCACAACATGCCCAGAAATGCTCCATGGGATGGGGAGAAAGGTGTCCAAAGAAAAACAAAATGAAGAGGAGAGGTGTCCTGCTGAGGGTGGTAGAACATTCTGGAAGGAGGGCGGCAAAGTGCCCCAATTCCAGCCCAGATGGAGCCTTGTCAGGGGCTGGGTATAGCTCAGAGCTGCTCTGGCTGGAGACCCCTAAAAGCCCAGGGACCCCGCCTGGGCTGCCCTCCATATGCCCTGTCTTGCTGGCTGAGGGCGCAGGGGAGGGAAATGGCCTCCAACCAGCCAGAGGCACAGGGAGCCTCCTGCCACTGGGCCACTGAGCACCCCCTCCCTGCAGCTCTCTTCTGTGACTACTACAACTCTGAGGGCCAATGCGAGTGGCACTACCAGCCCTGTGGGGCCCCCTGCATACGCACCTGCCGGAACCCGCGGGGAGACTGCCTACCTGACGCCCATGGCCTGGAAGGTGGGTGGGCTCCTCCTGATCCCACGAGGAGCCTTTGTGGCATCAGCCTCGAGCTCTCCGCTGGGTTGCTGCAGAGGCCGGTGCTGGGGCTGGCCAAGGCCCTCCAGGGTGGGGGCTGGTAGTCTGTGCGGTTGGGACTCAGGCCTCTCTGCCGCAGGCTGCTACCCGAAGTGCCCAGCGGAGGCCCCCATCTTTGACGAGGACAATATGCAATGTGTGGCCGCCTGCCCAGCCCCACCCCAGCCTCCACCCTGCCGAGTCCACGGGAAGTTGTACTGGCCGGGTGCAACCGTACCCTCGGACAAGAACTGCCACTCCTGGTGGGCCACCCACTGCAGGATGAGGGGGGTTTAGGCCCACAGCCTGAGTCTTAGGGTCCTGGGGTATCCATAGCCGGAGCTTCTGGGGCCAAGTACCACAGGATAGGGCATCTCCCTAATGCTGAAGTTTAGTTTTGGGCCCCCATGTCTGTGGCAGTGTTGCAGGGTGCTGGGACTCCCACATCCTGAGGTCTGGAGGACTAAGTACAGTGCAGTTTCTAGGATGGGGAATCCAGGGATCCAGGGGAAGCTGACCTGAGGCCAGACCCCAGGGACTTCATAGGGTGGACACACCAGGAGAGTGGTCATAGGGTCATCTTGGGCTCATTCTGTCTGCATGGGTCACTAATTAAAAGGCCCAAGAGGGCATGACCTCAGGTGAGTGGGCCCTGAGAGCCAACAGCGGGCCTCTGTGTCTACCAGCTCAGGGGTGTGACATGGACCCTGGATACCCCTGAGGACAGCCTTGCAGGACCTGCTACCCCAGGGCCCCTATACAGTGGGACACCCAATGAGGCCTGCAGTGCTGGCCCCTCACACCCAGCCTCCCCTCCCGAGGACACACATAAAGGAGCTGCTACCCCAGGGCCCCAGCATAGAGGAATGCCCAGTGGGGCCCAAGGTGCTGGCCCCTCACACCCAGTCTTCCCTCCCTCCTCTCACCAGCATTTGCAGCGGGACTGGTGTGCGATGCACCTATGACGCCCAGGGTGAGTGGCTGGTGGCCCCTTGGACTGGGGGACTCAGGGATCTCTGCCCATGGCTCAGCCCCTAACAGGCCCGGTTGCTGTGCTCCCCACAGCCTGTGTGTGCACCTATGGTGGCCAGCACTTCCACCCCGGGGATGTTATCTACCATACCACAGATGGTGCTGGTGGCTGCATCTCTGCCCACTGCGGGGCCAACGGCACGATCCAGAGGAGGGTCCACCGCTGCAGCCCCTCCACCCCTGCACCCCCAACCACCTTCTCCTTTTCCATGACCCCACTAGGTAAGGTGCACTGTCCCTCTAACTCTCTCTGGACAATGGGTTTATGCCCAGCTCTGGGCATCAGTGGCAGACCTTGAAGATTGGGAAGGGCTCAGGAGTAGGGTGCTAGGCGCAGGGACCACCTGCCCGTTCCACTCCAGGCCCTGCAGTGGGGAAGAGTTGCCTCCAAGGCACACCACCACCTGGCCTCAGTGGGAGCCAGCCCCTGGAGGACAGTGGGAAGCACCCCCTCCTCCCAGGGGCTGTCACTGCCTGTGGACATGTTCTGGGCTGGGAACTTGGGGCTGTCGCCTCCTGTGGACATGTTCTGGGCTGGGAACTCGGGCTTCAGGGGCATAGCTTGGGACTGGTTTCCCCTAAACAAACTAGCTGACCTGGGTGTTCAATGCCTGCCCTGTGCCAGCAGGTCCTGAGCAGATGCCCTAGATGGGGATGGGCAGACAATTAGCCCCATGCCACTGATCAGGGTGGAGGAGAGGATGGTAGGAGGGGCCAGACTCAGCCACCTGAGCTCATACCCTGGCACTCAGCCTGGGCCTGTCTCTTTTACCCACAGTCCTGAGCTCAACGCCAACCCTTGGCCCCAGCCTCAGCCCTGCCCTGAGCACAGCACACACGAGTCCCCCAAGCAGTGCCCGGCCCACAGTCGAGGGCACCTCCCCCAGGATGGTGGCTTCCTCAGCCTCTGCCCCACCCCACCCGAGCTGTGGGGAGGAGTGTCTGTGGTCACAGTGGCTGGATGTCAGCCATCCTGGACAGGGTGTTGACAGTGGTGACTTTGACACACTGGACAATCTCCGTGCCCATGGGTACCACGTGTGCCTGGCGCCTAGGGAGGTGCAGTGTCGGGCTGAGGATGCCCCCCAGGTGCCGCTTCACCTCCTGGGACAGCGTGTGGACTGCAGCCCGGCAGTGGGGCTGATCTGTTACAACAAGGACCAGGCTGTGGGGCTCTGTGACAACTACCAGATCAGGGTTTTGTGCTGCACACCCCTGGCCTGCCCCACCTCTGGTGGTCCAGCCTACACCACGCCCCTCATGATCTCCAGGACACCTGAGACCCACGCCACTCTATCCACAGCTGGTACAGTGCCCACCACGGTCAGGACAACACCAGGCCCAGGTACCAATATGCCTGTGCAAACGACCTTCCTGACCTCTAGCCCTACATCAGGATCAATGGCCTCGACGACACCCTCTGGGAGCCCCATGGCCCTGGGGACCTCGGGGCTCACAGAGAAGCCAATTGGCCCTGAAACCAGCCCAGTTTCCTGCCTTCAGGAGATCTGCACTTGGACTGAGTGGATTGATGGCAGCTACCCAGGGCCAGCAAGAAACAGTGGGGATTTTGACACTTTTCAAAATTTAAGAAAAAAAGGATACAGGTTCTGTGAGAGACCTAGTGGTGTGGAGTGTAGGGCAGAGAGCTTCCCCAACACCCCACTGGCAGAGCTTGGCCAGGACGTGACCTGTAACACCAGAGAGGGACTTCTCTGCCTGAACAGGAACCAGCTGCCGCCCATCTGCTACAACTACGAGATCCGCATCCAGTGCTGTGAGATGGTAGACAGGTGCAGAGACAAGCCCACAGCAGACACACAGCCCACCACAGGGGAGACTGGGATCCACACGTGGGCAACTGTGACAACAGTACTATCCTCAGCCTCCACAGAGCACGTGACTGGCAGTTCAGCAGCAATGCCTATAGCCACGGGGGCCATGCACACCACCCACGCAGTCACTGGATCCCAGACCACAGACTGCCAGCCCAGGTGCTCCTGGACCAAGTGGTTCGACGTGGACCTCCCAGCCCCCGGGCCCCACGGTGGAGATGTCGAAACGTACAGCAACATCATCAGGAGAGGGGAAAAAATCTGCCACCGGCCAGAAGAAATCACCAAGCTCGAGTGCCGTGCAGAGAACCACCCCGATGTGAGCATCGAGCAGCTGGGCCAGGTGGTGCGGTGTG